TTTATCTATCTCTTTCTCTCACTTAAAATGACACAACTTTACGTCCTTTAAAATGACAAACACTTTACCCATAAAACAATCAAAGTATGATTCAAAAATGAAATGCCGAAAAAGAAATCTTAATGTAACTTTCAAGTATTTTTGTCAAGTTCGAGATTTGCGTATATATGATAATTATAGACAGAAAATCTAAATTTATAAGCATGATAATATTCATATACAGTAAACTCACCTAATTAAATTTAACTGAAATATTCAAATTTTCTGTACGTAGAACAGTTGCATGTGTGCCCGTTGTCTCTATCAATAAAGGAAAGAATAAAGATATTTGATACCTTTGATGCTGTTACTTCCGTAATTGTCAAGTTTCTTTATCTTTAAGACACTACATGTTTACCACAAAAAGAAAAAAAGACACTACATGTTTCCTTGAGATAGGAACAAGTTCAATAAATTGAATATTTACTATTTATTTTTTGGCCTAGAGGTTGATTTCATATAAATTCATGTAAATAACAAGTCCAGCAAGCCTCAACTGAAAAAAAGACATCTAACTTCAGAAATTAATAATGTCGAAGCGTTTGAAAAACTAGGAATCAATGTGGGCTAAACTCTTAATATAATCTTTATTTAAACAAACCAAACCAAATAAATTAGAGTTCACAATGTTCTTAAATAGGCAATAAAAAGCCAAATTACAATAATTACGAAACTGTCTCTAAATAAAAAATAATTAAAAACTCCCTGAAAACGATTCTCAAAACCCAAGAAACATTGGTGCTTTGTTGCAAAGCATGAACCTTACTCAAATATAGTAATTCTCAAAACACAAAAAACACCAGTCAAAATTAAACCCATTCTGAGATGTTCTTGCGTTCTAAGTTCAAACTCGCCACTCCATTGGTACAGTGATTTACCTGTGGATGTGTTAATGTGTATAACATCACTGGATCCACTTAAAGGAATGAGAGGTTCTGTTATTCTAACGTGAAGATATCTCATAGGTGTCAATGAGAACTTATAAATAACTTACAAATTGCGCGCTTATTAAAGAGGAATTGTATTGATAACCAATGAGAGGATTTTTACGGTGGTGGGCGAAATTAAAAAAAAAAAAATATATTATAAATAAAAATACTTATAATAAAACATGAACCTATTATAAAAAGTTTGAAAGAATATTTGTACAGAAATCAAATTCGGCTCATTTAACTCTTGCTTTACGTTTTTTCATATTATTAAACTCTTATGTAATTGAAACTAAAGAAAAGGTTATACTTAATATTTTATTTTTTTTGCTTATAATCTCTTACAACCCAATTTTAACGGTTGATTTTTGTCAATATAACTATTATAATTTATTAGAATTTAATAATTATAACTCAATAAATTATAATCGTTAGATTGATGAAAATCAACGATTAAAATTGAGTTGTAAGAAATTATAAGTGAAAAAAGATTGTAAGTATAACCTCTCTCTTGTAACTACACTAAAATTCAAAATAATTTTTTTTTTCAATATGTAATCAAAGAATTATCAATAAATTAATTTTTTTGTTTGATTTCAAAGTTTTCCCTTGATAATCTTTATTGATGAGAAAGCACTTTCAATAGTTCCGACAGAAATTGGGAAAACAAGTACAAGTAATTATTCTATTACTAAGTATTGATGTGTTTGGATAAAGTGAGTACTACGTACTATTCAAATTACTGCGCTACTGTTTAATTTCACGGTATGAATTCAATCAACAATGGTGTCAAATGATTGAAAAATATCATGATGTATATTTTTGTATCATTTTGTTTTTTTTTTTAAAACAGAAATTGCTTTCCTTTAATTTCAAATGGAATAAGTTAAGATTAAAAATATAGCTTAAGGTGGTGTTTGGTTGCGTTCTTTTTCAAACTTCCCTATGCATCCCAAGGAAGCATTCCGGAAAGCACTCGTTTGATTCCATAGATTTAGTCTAAATCCCCACCAATCCTAATTGCATTGCATTTTGAATATGCAAGTGGAATGATGGTGTTTGGCACTCTTCAGAAAGAATTCTTGGAGGTGGTCTTTTTGTGAAAACCGACAAAAGCACTGTGTAGACAATATCTCAAATGACTATTGTACCCTCCAAAGACACATATTTTTTCTTGTTTTGAAGGTAAAGGGTAGGATGTTTGTTTCAAAAAAAATTTAAAACAGGGGTATTTTTGTAAGAGCATCGTTTTTTCCATTTATATTTTACCTACAGCCAAACATAGACTTCATAAATGTTACTTAATTTTCCCGGTAATATTTTTTTTAACGAAACAACTTTTTTTATATTTTCCTACCAAACTCACTTTCCAACCATTTCCCTACTATTCTTATTTCCCTATTATTCATAAAATTTTTCCATCAATCAAACGCTTACCTTGTGCTGCCTATAGAGTACAAACCAGTGCTTGTTTATTTATATATACGATGCAAGGATCAAGAGAAACTGAATTTTTTAAGTAAGGAAAAAAATAACTCTACCAGACTTTCATTTAAAATAATAATAAAGAGAAATAGAAGCCATAAAATGAGAAAAACAAGGGATAGATGAGAGGGGGATAGGGTTTTCTTTAATTTTTTTTTTTAAAGAGGGATTAATTTTTAGCTGTAATAACCTATAAATATTATTAAAATAAAATTATATATATATATATAATAATAATTCAAAACTTATGTAGCAGCGGTAGCAACCTAGCCCTTCCCTAGGTCCACCGCCGTTGATAACAAGAATCAAACTTTAAGCTTTATAAAAATGCTTGTCTTTATCAGCTAAACTAAATCTAATTTATACTAAAATTATTTTTCAATTTCAAAAAAAATTGAATCCCCATTTTTAAAGCATATCCTGAAATTTCAAACAACAAAAATTTTAACGACTTAGAGAATGCACAAAACAAAAAATTCATGTATATCCAGATATATAGAGGATAATTTTAAAAGGAGGATTTTTAAACTCCATCTAACTCGGTATTGTCTGAGACAACTCTAAATTCTAAATCTTAAATCGTCAAAGCCAATTAATTGATCTAGATTGATAATACTTAAATGTTTGTATATAAGACTGGAAACATCAGTATTGTTCTATATAAATGATAGCGTTGTTTAAAATCAAAATGTTATTAGAATTAGATTGGACTGGATATAAGTTAGTTGAATATGGCTTGGTTTTTTTTTTTTTTTGCGAATACTGGGAAAATAAACAAAAACTACTTGGTTTTAAAATTGAATTCATGCTTAATTAGGCGATTTTAGAACAATTAAATCTTGTCAGAATCCAATTTAACTGACCAATTAATGAGTCGAACCAACTAACCAATGTTGATTTTCTTTTGAGAATCTTCAATATTTTGTTGAATTTCCCAAATATTTTTTGTATTTCATATTGAAGCATTTGAATTACTTTTATGAGGTAACGATTTTGTTTGATCATTAAGTTTAAACAATTGAACTTGAACTGGAAAACATCGCCAATTCACGGTCTAGTCCAATTTAACATTGTCGAAAATTGATCTAAAGTGAGAGAGAATAATTAAAAGCGAAAGTGAAATCTTATTGTTCCCTTGTCTCTATCGATTGAAGGAATCATATCGTGCATACATGGAGGATACTTTGTGAGCAGTGATCAAATCTTCAATACTTGGTTTCTTCATGCGCTACTTTCCTGTAGTTTTCCCTGTTATTTACTTTCTAAGATATGTAATTAACAAAATCATTTATAAGTTTCTATCAAAAACAAAGTTACAACTTTAAAGAGAGTTAGTTCTTGATATAGCATTAGATTCTCTATGATGAGAAGTATGTTAGAGATGCAATCTAGCTAGTGATCTTCACTTAATAATTTATGTTCTTTTGCTTTTTACAACAGTGACCCATATTGTTATGGACCCGTATAAGGAGCCCATTGAATGACAAGCTCAATAAGAGACAATTTAAGATTTAAATCAAGTATATTTATGGATAGTATCCATCAAGGATACTAATCCTAATACGACAGTATAGCAGACAGGTTTGGACCCTCATCAGAGGCACTAAAGGCCCGTATCACACTACCCACAAGTAACTCCTATATATAAGATGTAAATCCTAAAGGTACGTTACGTTCTCTCTCTCTTACTATTATGTTGTCACTGTGCACATTCACACACACCCTTTTGGCAAAACCGTTAGTTGTTTACTGTGCACAGTGATCTGCTTGACTCGAGAGTATCTCTCTCATAGATAACTTGGAGAGGGAACTAGATCCAAGATCAACATACCAGTCCATTGAACTGGACATATCAGTCTCCAAGACAGAACATTGGCGCCGTCTGTGGAGAATTCATTCTTTGAATTTTAAATTCTCACGATTCTGACTGAGGATGGCAGTCCGTACAAGGAGCAACAGCCAACAGCCCCAACCTCCCAATGAGCCCAATCATTCGTTGGGTCTTGTTCTGGAAGAGGTTAATCAGCCTGATCATCAACCAGAGAACGAGGTGGACTATGATGCAGTCTATGTCAGCGAAGATGTGTTAGACACAACTTCCACCCCAGCACCATGAAATCGAGTTCCAGATCTAGCGTTACATAACCCTCCTCCTCAACATCCCCCAGAAATTGATGCTCATGGAGCACAGCCCACAGATCCTAATTCTCGCCTGGCCCAAAACACCTTCACCGTAATTTGGCGAAGAGTCAAAGATATGGAGAATCGCAACAATCTACAACGCCAGGAGGATTTCAGGAGAATTCAAGAGGACAACGCAAGGAGAATGCAGAACCTGGAACAGCGGTTGTTGGCAATGATAGGGCCTGGATCAAAAAGGGTCCAAGGTCGTGATGCAAATGTCCAAGGCCATGATGCAAATGGCCGAGATGGAAACCAAAACTTGGACAGATAGGATCGAGTTTAGTTACTGAGAACCGAGGAGCCTCAAATGCGGGAACCATTGGGGGCCCAAACCCTGAAGACCAGGGAATGGGTAACCGAAATATGAATGCGAAACCTCTGGTCCAGAATGCTTCGGCGGAAGCAAATGTACAAAGGAATGGGGAGGGTACACACCCCAACCAAAATGCCCAAACCCCTAGAGAACGCGTGGAACCTGGTGGATACAGGAGGAAATACAGTAAGGGGCAGTACAATAATAGCCCCTTCACTAGTGAAATATTGAATGCTCCTTTCCAGGAGGATTTTGATTCGGCACGCTTGTCGAAGTATGATAGAAGTCAAGACCCACAGGTCCACATAGATTCATTTGACACGGACATGTATATTCGAGGGATTTATGAGCCCCTTATATCTCGGATATCTGCTATAACTTTGACTGGGGCTGCGCAGGCATGGTTCTCAACCTTACCTGCCAACTCCATTGGGTCTTTCGAGAAATTTGGGGAGAAGTTCCTCTTGAATTTCGCAACAAGCAAAAAACATCCCAAATCTGAATTCGCACATGGAAAGATACGACAACAACCCAAAAAAACTCTCCAGAGGTACCTCAACCGGTTCAAGGATGCTGCCTTGCAGGTGCCAGGTTTACAAGAAAATATCCACGTACATCTCATTGTGGATGGCTTGGATGGAGCATCTAGACTAGCCAAGTCGGTCTATAAAGACCCAGTAAGGACGTTGGAGGAATTCAGGACTCGTTCGAAGAAGTACTTAGAACTCGAACAAATGGAGATAGCAAATGCGCAATCTGAGGATGGTAAGAGAATGAGCCCGAGAAGGAGGAACTCGGCCCTGAGAGAAAAAGAGTCGACCGGTAACAAAAAGAAAGACTCTAATAGCAGAATCCCGGATGATAGAGATCGGGTTGGAAGATATGAGAAGTATACATCGTTGAATGCCTCACGCTTTCAAATTTGGAGGGAAGTGGCAATGCCGGAGATGAAGAAAGTAGATAGACCTCGGTCCATAATAGAAAGAAAGACTCTAGTAGCAGAATCCCGGATGATAGAGACCGGGTTGGAAGATATTAGAAGTATACATCGTTGAATGCCTCACGCTTTCAAATTTGGAGGGAAGTGGCAATGCCCATATTTAATAAAGAAGGTTTGGATAAGTCCAAATATTGCGCCTTCCATGATGGACCGGGTCACAACACTGATTAATGTTGGGATCTCTGAGATGCTGTGGAGAAATTTGTTAGAGAAGGGAAACTGCGCCAGTATGTGATCAAAACTCAGGGTTCCAAAAATAACAAAAGAAAGTCTGGAAACCGGAAGAGGAGCAAGAGTCCAGTACCTGAGAAGAAAAAGAAAAAGGAAAGGAACCAGAAAGATGATTCCAATAACGATGAATTCCCGGGAGCTGAGTTCGATTGTAACATGATCAGTGGAGCTCTTGGAGGAGGAGGAGACACTGTAAGTGCTAGGCGAAAGTATTTAAAAGAAGTGCTTTCAATCTGGGATCATCCTAAATTCAAGGAGGACCCCAGCAAACCAGACCCTCCTCTACTCCATTTCACAAAGGAAGATATGCAAGGTGTTTTGCCAGGGCATGTAGATGGGTTAGTCGTCACTGGAATCCTGGTGAACTTCTGGGTTAAAAAGATCTTCATAGATGCAGGAAGCAGTGCTGACATTATATTATGGGGCGCCTTCAAAAAGATGAACCTTGATGAAAAGGACCTCAAACCCTGCAAGACAACCTTAATAGCTTTTAATGGAGAAAATACACCTCCTAAAGGCTATATAGATATCAGGTTAACCGTGGGAAAGAAGAAAGCGTTCAAATCAGAACGGGTGAGACTCATAGTGGCTGACTTCCCATTTAAATACAACATCATTCTGGGGAAGCCAACCATACATAAATGGGACATGCTGGTCTCCACAAAGCATCAGAAGATAAAATGGTAAGTGGCAAGAATGAAGTCATTACTATCAGTGGAGATCAAAGAGAATCCAGAGAATGCTACTTTGAAATTGTCAAAGGGAATAAAGGTGGACATTTGAGTCCACCCCGGATCCGTCCAGGAGATAAAATCGGTAAGAAGGCAACCCCTCATCATTCAGGAAAACCACTAAATATGGTTGAGTTGGATATGAGAGAAGAAGTGATCCCCAGACCAGAACCAAATGGGGAATTGGAAGATCTTGTACTGGGAAAAGAACCCAGTCAATTTACTTAAATTGGTAAGACCATAGACAGCCATATTAAGGAACAATTAGTCGGGTTCCTCAAAAGCAACACGAATGTCTTTGCATGGAAGTTGTCAGAGATTCCCGGCATAGATCCATATTTTTGCTGCCACAAGTTGGCGATTTATCCCGGATCAACACCAGTTTCGCAAAAGAAAAGAAAGCTAGGGCCAGAAAGAAAACAAGTCCTGGAGGAACACGTGAAGGAGTTGTTGGATGCCGGGTTTATCTGGGAAATACAATATACAACCTGGCTTGCCAATGTTGTCATGGTGAAAAAAACCCAACGAAAAATGGAGAGTCTGCACTGATTACACGGATCTGAATAAGGTGTGCCCGAAGGATTCTTAACCTATGCCCAACATAGACCAGCTAGTGGACAACTCGGCTGGATTTCAACTGTTATCTTTCGTAGATGCTTATTCTGATTATAATCACATTCTGATGTATCCAAAAGATGAAGAAAAAACTGTCTTTATTACTGAAAAGGCCAATTACTGCTACAACGTGATACCTTTTGGGCTCAAAAACTCTGGGGCTACTTACCAGAGGATGATGAAAAAGGTGTTTGAGGATCAACTGGGCAAAAATATATAAGCATACATTGATGATATGATTGTTAAGTCATTTGATATGACGAATCATGTCCGGGATCTGGAGCAGACATTCCAAAAGCTCAGAAAATACCGCATTCGCTTGAACCAGATAAAATACGCGTTTGGAGTCCCGGCAGGAAAGTTTTTGGGTTTCATGCTAACCAATAGAGGAATTGAAGTAAACCCCGACAAGTGAAAAGTAGTTCTTGATACGAAAGTCCCTAAGAGCAAGAAGGAGGTTCAGCAATTGACTGGAAGACTGGTTGCACTAACCCGGTTCTTCCCAAAGTCAGCTGAAAAAGCCCTCCAATTCTTCAAATTATTGAGAGAAAAAAGTTGTGCAAGGATGGAACCCAGAATGTCAATCCGCATTCGACAAAATAAAAAAATGCTTGGCAACCCCACTAGTACTGTCTAAGCCAAAACCAAGAGATAATCTGATCTTATACTTGGTTGTGGGAGAAGAAGCAATAAGTGCTGTTCTGATCAAGGAAACTAGTAATGGTCAGGAGCCGATTTACTTTGTCAGCAGGGCCTTGCAAGGTCCCGAGTTAAGGTACTAGAGGCTGCAAAAGGTGGCTTTTTCTTGCTGATTACGACAAGGAGACTGCGGCCATACTTTCAGGGACACCAGATAGTAGTTCGAACTAATCGACCTATACGGCATGTATTGCATAAGCCGAATATGGCAAGGAGAATGACTAACTAGGCAATAGAACTCTCTGAGTATGATATAACATACGAAAGACGGAAGGCCATCAAATCACAAGCTTTGGCCGACTTCATAATGGATCTCACACCGGTTAGCCCGAAAATGGGAGAAACTGAAGATACTTGGAGGGTATATGTAGACGGATCCTCTAATGAGAAAGAAAATGGAGCTGGGATTATACTTGAAAGTCCAGAAGGGGTGGCGATAGAACACTCCTTGAACTTGGGTTTCCCAACTTCAAACAATCAATCAGAATATGAAACTTTAATAGCCGGGTTGATGCAGGCTAAGGAACACGGGGCCAAAAGGGTTAAAATCTCCAATGACTCCCAATTGGTAACTTCTCAAATAGAACGAAAATATCAGCCAAAAGGCCCTCTGCTGATGAAATACCTAAACAAAGTCAAAGAAATGATGACCGAGTTTGAGGAAGTGACAGTTACTCATATTCCTCGAGGGGAAAATAGCCAAGCTGACATCTTGTCTAAATTGGCAAGTACAAAAAATCCAGGAAACAACAGAATTGGGATCCAGCAAAACAAAACAGAGCTGAGTTTCGTGATGATAATCACATCGGCAAATGACTTGAGGCAACCCATAGTGGTATACCTTGAGAAAGGAACATTGCCTGAGGACCCATTGGAGTCCAGGAAGCTGATCCGAGATGCAACGCAATATGCAATAGTGGAAAATCAGTTGTATAGAAAGGGGTTGCATATCCCTATGCTGGAATGCTTAAACTCAGAAGAAGCAGAATATGTGCTGGCCGAGATACACAAAGGAATCAATGGCCACCACATGGGGGTAAATCCTTGGTTAGAAAAACCCTCCGAGCTGGCTATTACTGGCCGACTATGGAAGCAGACTCCAAAGAACATATCAAAAGATGCATAGTTGTCAGAAGCATGCAAGACTAATTCTCTCACCACCAGAAGAATTGAAACATATCTCGACTCCATGGCCTTTTTTCAAATGGGGGATGGATTTGCTAGGACCTTTCAAAGCTTCTGAAGGACAGTTGAAGGGCTAATTATGGCCGTAGATTACTTCACCAAATGGATAGAAGCAGAACCGGTTACCACGATAACCTCGGCCAGGGTACAAAGGTTCTTTGAAAGGAACATTGTTTCCAGGTTTGGAATACCAGCTGAGGTAGTGACTGATAACGGAACACAGTTTGCTAATAAAAGGTTCCAGGAGTTGATGAAAGACTTAAAGGTCAAACATCGCTTTGCATCTGTGGAACACCCACAGTCAAATGGGCAAGCTGAAGCCGCAAATAAGGTAATTATTGACGGGCTCAAGAAACGAAAGATGGATGCTAGAGACTGTGGGGATATCAAACGAGTACCCAGATAGCAACAGGGGAAACCCCCTTCAGATTGACATATGGATGTGAAGCCTTGATCCCGGCATCATTGAAGGAGCCGGTGATAGATTTTTCAAGTTCACTCCGGTAAAGCTGGGTACTATCTTGAGCTTCATCTTGTCCTCAATTCCCTTCATCTTGTCCTCTAACTTCTCATCTCATGCATTATTTTAAAATCCTTCTGGCTCCGGCAGTTCCCGTCATGGAGGTATTGCAGCTGGTTGTGGTCCCGTTGAAGGTTGGTGAAGTTCTCCTTCACATTGGCCAGATCAGCAACAGTTTGGTCATGTTCTTCTTTAAGGGAGGAGAAATCCTCCTTCACCTTAAGCAGTTTTACGATCGTCTTCGCCTTCTCCTCCCGGGATGCAGTAGCCTCATTGAGGGTGCGAAGGTATTTATGCTTTAAAGAAAGCAAAGGCCTTGCCAACCTGGCCATCTTTACGCAACAAAGTTCCATCTCCTCCAGCTCTTTGATTTGGGAAGCTGTAAAAGGGGATGAGCTGAAGAAGGGTTCGGGAAGGAAAATCGCATCCCGGAGAGCACCACTTATCCCGGACTGCCATACAACGTGTTTGGCCAGCCAGGTGGACGGAGAAGGGGGATGAGCCTTCATCACTTGTGGAGAGGAGGAAAGGGCACTAGTGTCAGCAGGGATTCCCTTATTTTTATTGCTAGCAGCAACAACATGGCCTTTATCAGTCAGGATCCCCTTCGCCTTGTCAGCAACAGGCTTCATGACCTTTAGGTCTGAGGCTTTCCTTTTCCTGTTCGTCGAATCGACAACAGGGTCCTTCTTTCCCTGACTCAGGGCGACTAGCCAGCTGGGTGGCTCATTCTGCTAGTTTTCCAAACTGGGAACTACAAAGCAAAGACAATGAAGTCGGTTATAAGATGTAAAAGTAAAACATACTTAATTTGGCATCAAGTTCTTCTTGGGACTTATAGATGAGGGATGCAACACTAGCATGCTTGTGCGACTAGAGGTCTGTACCCATGGCGATTATACTATTGACATCAGTGGGGTTCAACTCCGAATCTTTGAAACGATAGCTTGAAGAAGGAAATTGATAGTGGTCAGATGACCAATATGAGGGAAATTTTCCTTTCACATCCTCAGAGCCACAGTTATGGAGAAACCATACTTCCTCACCAGGATGCGCAGAAACTTTAAAGGACTTGTCTTTAAAGTTCTTGAAAGAATCAGTATAAACTTGGAAGTTTATGACCAGGGATACCCCGAATGTTAACCCAACCTTTTTGTTCTGCCGGTTCACAGCCAGTTCGAGGGCTAATAGCTTAGAAAAAGAAAAAGAAAACACAAACAGAAGGCAGAAGAAAAAGGTATGCACAAAAATGCTCGAATGCCTTGATAAAACCCTAGCCGTTGGGTTGAAGTTGGGTGGGAGCTGTGTGAAGATGATTTAGGATGTCCATCTGGAACTCGGTGAAAGGAAACTTAATGCCGAGTTGAGTCATGACATTCCGATAGAAGAAAAGAAATAAGGCTCTTCTGAAGTTCCCCCAGAGAAAACTGGCTCGTCTTCTTATGGGAGGACTATATCATAATTCTCTAATTTTTCGATGGGAAGCCCAGCCACGTCATCCGTACTCATCTCATAAGTGGCATTTAAAATCTCGTAAGTTACCCAGGGAAACTGGGATACTAAAGAGGCAGGAGGAGACTCGGAGCACGACTCGAAAAAATCTGACTCCTCTACAACCTCTGGGGGAGATGTCATAAATACCTAAAACAAGAAAAATAACTTGATCAGAAGGAGAGAATTGACATACCTAAATCAAAAAGGCTACTAGATAAAGAGTCGCTAGAAGATGAAGAGGTTGGCTTATCTGATATTGTAATTGGGTCATTTGCCTCACCAGAAGCTGGTATATATTTCGAAACATCTCTATACCGGAAGCTAGCCAAGGTAGACTCGGCTGAAGAGTCACATCCTTGTGCAATAAGTTTGGAACTCAAAAAGACACAGGAGTAGCAAGGACCAGCTTTTTGGACATAAGGGGATTGCGGCATACCCCAGCT